CGATCTGAACTATGGCCTACCTAATACCAAAAAATAAAATAAAATAAAAAACTTAATTTTTAAAAAATATTTTACATAAAAACAAACTAAACGTTATGGTCCCGTTTGGTTAGATAGAAATAAGCGAGGAAAGAAAAGAAATGAAAAAAGAAAAAAAAGTGAAGTAAATGAAAAAAAAAAGTTATTTTCTATGAAACATTTGGTTAGCATGAAAATTTATTCAGGAAAATTGTATAAAAATATTAGTTTGTTAGTTTGGATAGCATGAAAATGAAAAGAAAGTGATTGTGCATACCAAAATTACCCTTATGATTTCAAATACTAAAAAAATAAATAAATTTGTGTTCGATGATGTTTATTTTATTCAAAGTTTTAATAAAATGATGAATTGTTAAATTTTAATAATATAATTATTTATATTGTTTAAATTAAAACAATACTTCAAAACTTCTTAGGTAGAACTATAGAAGCAAAACTATCTATTCATTTAAGAGAAATAACGAAGCTTAAAAATAAAAATAAAAAATTTAAAAAAATTTGGGCTCATGGGCTTTCAACCAAGAACACAAAAAGAGAAATATATATATATATTCTCTATCTATATAAAAGAGGTGTATAATATATATGATACAATGTATATATTTGGAACTCAAAAAAAAAAAAAAAAAAAAAATCGTCCAAATAGTATTGCAAGAGAACATGTTTAGAGAGAAGTTGTCTTATAGAGTCCACTAAAATATAAATTGTTAGAGAACTTGCCTCTAGTAGAAAAGAAACTCAGTTAGAAAATAAAGAAATTAATTATTTTACATGGTTCAGCTATTGGATAAAATAGGAATTTCAAATAAAAAGAAGCAGTTTTCACGAGAAAATATTATTTCCCTGTGTTTTGTGTGAGAAAAGTTTTGGGAGAAAGTAGCTTAATGTGGGAAAGTATTTTTTCTATTACGATTCTTTTTCCATCTATCCAAACTCTAAAAAAATTTAAAAAATTTCTCTTTCCTTTCTTTTCTAGTTGATTCCATCTAACCAAACGAAGCCTATTAAAATATTTAAAATATTATTACAAACTTTAAAAGAGACTATGGATTGAATCGTTTTGAACCGGGTCTGAATAGAACCCATTTAAAAAAACTGTGAACAAACAAAACACACAATAAAATGGTAGAGAAATTGGCACCTGAGAACCGTCACAGCCTCTTTCATGGCCGTATGTTGTTGTTCTTCAACTTTCACACTCATCGCGTTCGATTGCGTATTTAATTTTCCATTAGCTTGCTCAATCTGTACCTTTTGACTTTATTTTTAGGGCACTTGATCTCTATCTCTCTCATTCTCTCTCTCTCTATATATATATATAGACTTCCAATTATTCATTGAGATATCACTCATGGTTGATTCGTTCAGGTCGGGTGAGTGTTTCATTCACCCAGCACCATCCTCTCTTTCCTCCTCCTCACATACACAGATCTCTGCAACACCCGAAACGCCACTACCACCTACCACCGATTAGGGTGGATAGATCTCTGCAACATCCGAAACGCCACTTCCTCTCTTTCCTCCTCCTCACATACACAGATCTCTGCAACACCCGAAACGCCACTACTACCTACCACCGATTAGGGTGGATAGAAAGAAGAGACATATAGACAGCGTGGGGAGCGATGGTGGTGGTGGTGGTTGAGGCAACTAGGGTTTTGAAATGGAGGTTGGGTAGTGGAGATTTTAGATGGGTTTTACCCGGTTTACCCATTTAAAACGGGTTAAATCATTTTTGACCTTTATATAGTCTAATATTATATAATTTTTTTAGTCTTCGTTTGGATAGAGAGAAAAGAAAGGAAAGGATTATAAGAAAAAAGCAATGAAATGAAATGAAAGGATAGCTATAGTTTATATTCATGTTTGGATAGATTTGAGAAAAAAGAAAGAAATTGGCAATATTGTTGTTTGGATAACACAAATGAGAGAAAAGAAAGGAAAAGATAATAATAAAATTACCATCTTACCCTTTTTAGTAGGGTTAATAGGGCAAAATCATTTCAGCCTCCCAATCGCCTCCATCGTTCTCTGTCTCTTTCTCTCGCCTCCATCGTTCTCTCTTTCTCCAACTGGAAACTACAAAATCTACAAGAATCAGAACATCAAAACCCATATCTCGGCATATCATTTCAAATTGTTCCAAAAATCAAAACCAAACTATATATATATATTTCAGCCTCCCCAAACTTCATATATATTCTCTCTCTCTCTCTCGCCTCCATCATTCCCTCTATCTCTCTCTCTCTCTCTAACTGGAAACTACAAAATCTACAAGAATCAGAAAATCAAAACCCATATCTCGGCATATCATTTCATATTGTTCCAAAAATCAAAACCAAACTATATATATATATTTCAGCCTCCCCAAACTACATATATATTCTCTATCTCTCTCTCTCGCCTCCATCGTTTTCTCTCTCTTTCTCTCCCTCTCTCTCCAACTGGAAACTACAAAATCTATAAGAATCAGAACATCAAAACCCATATCTCGGCATATCATTTCAGATTGTTCCAAAAATCAAAACCAAACTATATATATATATTAGCCTTCCCAAATTACATATATATATATATCGGCATATACATATATATAGCTTTCGCCTACTGTCTCTTGCCCCTTCTATAAATTTGCTCCATTTCTTTCCAAATCCCTCCAAATTTTGTCAATTTTGGAGGGATTCCAAATAAGGGATTTGGAGGGATTGAGGGATTGTTATCCCTCCAAATCTCTCCAAATCCTTTATTTTCTCTCCTATTCCTCCTATCCAAAAACACTCATCACTATTCTTCCTTTTCTTTTCTCTCCAAATTCCTCTAAATTCCTCAATCCAATAGAAGTCTTAGAATTCATGCAAGCCTTTTCTTATAAGGTTGGACTCAAGTATTGGGCTGTTTTGGCCAAAGGCCCATTATGTAATTTACATTCAGCACTATTCCAAGTCTTCTATTAATTAACATAGAAAATGACTTTTCGTCTATTTGCCAAAATAAATTAATTAAGGTCGAAAGTGAAGGATTTCACTTTATGTCATTAATTAAATTAATTAATTAATTAAATAGTGTGATGTCTGTGTATTTATTGTGTATGTGTAGTGTATTATAAAAGTAAAAGAAAAATAATTTAATGGTGGGGCCCATAAGGCACTTTAGAAAAGGGTCAACACCATAAAGTTGGTCTCATTTTCCTGATTCCCTTTCTCTCTCTTCGTGCATCTCTCTCTCAACCCGTAAGCTCATTTTTCTCTTATTTTTCTCTTATTTCTTGTTGGAATTAGGTTCCGTTTGAGGCAAAACGAAGCTCGTGTCAAGCTCTATACATCCATACCATCAATTTCCAGTTTTGAGTCTTCCTTGGAGCTCGAATTTGGGGACCCATTTTCTAGGGTTTTGGTGCAATCTTGAGGTAGGGGCCCTTAATTCATGAAATCTTGTACCTTAGTGAGTTAATTGCCTCTAATTGTTGTTTAATTTGATTAGTTGTTTAAAATCTAGAGAATTGTTGATATGTATGCATATATGTTAGTTGTGTGACTATATTTGTTGATTGTTCTATGTGAAGCATGTTTAGGACTTGATTATATATGTTCATTGTGCTAGAACTTGTTATGTATAAGCATGTTATGACTTTCTTGATTATTCTTGCGAATTATGCCATGTTGCTTAAATTGGATAAAGTATGGAATGATGAACTTGTGTATGTCATTGAGGTATTCATGCATTAACATTGGGCAGGAAAAGGGAAAGAATTGATTTACTTCAAAAAGGGGAAATTTCGGGAGTTTTTGATGAAATGATTTTATGAGAAACCCGGTCGCTGCGGGGTTACCAACGGGCCGGAGGTTAATATAGCCTAGAGGGGACTAGGGAGTCGCCCTAGTGTGGTTGAGCTAGCTGGGCCCTATAATGACGCCGCAGGGTTACTAAGGGTCAGGGACACTAGCCAATCCTCCTCTCGTGTCGCGGCGGGGTTACCAAAGGGCGGGCTGTATTAACGTTTAAAAGTGATGGTTTTGAGAATGAAAATGGGGAGTGTCATTGACATGCATTGCATTTCATTGCATTACATTGCATTGTTTATAATTGGAATTGAATTGTATGTTGTATTTGATCCCCTACGTTGTATGATCCCTATCTCCCATTGGCCTATGCTTTGCTTGAATTCACAAGGACACAAGATTTGTGTCTTAAGTGTCTCTGCTGAGTTATATGCTCACCCCTATATCTATATATATATTTTTTTAGGTCTTGGAAAAGAACCGGTGGACGACAACCCACCCCAACTTTGAAAGTTGCTAGAGGAGCATTTTCCTTGTTATTTTGTAATAGACTACTCCTTTGTTCATCCCTCATTTTTGTAAAATTCCAAAGGTGTAATGATGTAAATTTCTTTTGAAGAACCATGATCATGTAATACACTTATGATACTTGATGACATATGGGATGCGAACTTGATGATATGTAACTTGTTGATGAATGGAATGATAATCCTAGCTTGAAGCATTGTCTAGATTAGTAGGTTGTATCATTATCTTTTGTTGCCGTGAATTCAGAAATTAGTTGTATGACAGGTTAAATATGCATTTAAACAGGTTGCGGTAGGTCCATTTTTAGGGGAGGTTATGCCGAATTTTTTTTTGTTAAAAAAATTCTTGGCATTAGTTTTGGGATCGTTACAAATAGTGTGAAAATTTGGTTAAATTAGTGGTCCTGAATATCATTATTCATTATGTTGAGTGTCATTAATCAAATTAATTAATTAATTAGTGTGAAAATTTGGTTAAATTAGTGGCCCTGAATATCATTATTCATTATGTTGAGCAGATAAGGTATTGGAACAAAATTAACAATTTTTTTTTTTTTTAATTAAGGACAAAAATGTTAGTAATTAGTTGATAGGGGAGAGTGCAAGGCTCGAATATGAGTTTTCAGACATGAGAAGCAATCCAACACCCCGACAGTACAAGAAAACCAACATTGAGCTGTGTGATTTTTAATGGAGCTTTTGTTCCTAAAAAAGAACAACTTTGCAAATATTACTAGTTTAAAGTTCCTGAAATCACATTTAAGTAAAAATACTAATTCTAAACTCTTTGACAAAATAAGGGCATTGCATTAGTTAAATCTCTCTATCTAGGTTGCAGCGTTGTAATAGTCTCTGCATCCCCAGTATAGAGATCAGTTTCTCTTGATACTGAATAATCAGCCTCATTTGAACGTCTTTCTGTGAAGAAGCCAGGCTGCTTAGGTTGAGGCAATGAAGCTTCCTCATGACCCAACATGAAAACTACAGATGACATCGGTGGCCTGTCTTCTGGTAGTTTTTGAACACAAAGGAGTCCCAATTGGATACATCTCACTACCTGACACTCAACACATGAATCCCTCAAACATGCATCCATTAGTTCCAAAGCCTGATCTTCTTGCCACAGCATCCATGCCTAGGACAAATTCCAATTATTATGCTTATTAGCCATTCACATGCAAAAGGAAGATGGAGAGAGAGAGAGAGAGAGACTTGCTTACATGTCCCAAAAGGTTATGGTGGTGCTTTGAATGAGAAAACCCTCTGTTCTTTTTACCACTCACTATCTCTAATAAAAGCACACCAAAGCTGAAGATATCAGATTTCATAGAGAACGTTCCATCAATTGCATACTCAGGGGACATATAGCCACTGCATGAAGTGATCAAATATTAATTTTTGAAAAATATAATGCATGATAAACCTTCTGATTTTAGTTTGTAGAACTCACTATGTTCCAATAACTCTCTGAGTTGTTGCATAAACTTGGTTCCCTTCGACAATTCTTGCTAACCCAAAGTCAGAAATTCTTGGGTTCATTTCACTATCTAGCAAAATGTTGCTCGCTTTGAGATCCCTATGAATGATTCGTAATCTTGAGTCTTGGTGGAGGTAGAGAAGTCCTCGTGCAATCCCCATAACAATGTCAAAGCGCATTTGCCATGGCAATGCGCCACCATTTTGATCTGCACATCCATTTCCACCTATTGTAAATCTAACTAATATAAAATATGTATACCTTTGAAATCAAGCAGAGACTTCATTTAGTAGCACAAACTAAGTTGCAAAGAAATAGCATTAAGAGAGGTGAATAAAATAGCCAAGCGTATAAAGGGCTCCGAGTTGAGACCAAAAATGAAATGATCCAAGCTTTTGTTGGGCATGTACTCATAGATCAACATCCTTTCTTCTCTTTGAATGCAGCAGCCCACAAGCCTGACCAGATTCCTATGCTGAAGTTTGGCTATCAAAGCAACTTCATTCTTAAATTCGTTAATGCCCTGTCCTGAATCCTTGGACAGCCTCTTCACTGCAATTTCTTGTCCATTTGAAATATTTCCCTGCATTTTATATACAAGATTCACAATGATGACATACACTTGTTTGTTCAATAAATGAGAAAAATGTGACCTAGTACCTTGTAAACTGGACCAAAGCCTCCCTCTCCAAGCAAGTTTGCATCAGAGAAGTTATTTGTCGCGTTAGTAATGGTAGCCAAATCAAATAAAGGTAAATCCAAATCTTCACCTAAAATAGGATCAATAATTTGTTTAGGAACAGCATTCTTATGATAAAATAAAAAAAAAAATTAAGAAAAATGTAAGCAGAGGTGACAAGTATGCTGACCGTTTCTGTTTATTCTCTTCTTCCATTTAAAATACCATAATACCAAGCCCAACATAAGAATTCCAGAAGCGATTGATACCACAAGAGCAATCACCAATATTTTCTTCTTACTTGAATCCCCGTTAGATTCTAAAAACATTAATAAAACATTACAATCATATTGTACAAATTTCTTTTGTTTAGTAAATTTAATGTTGTGACATTTAAGTTAAAAATCAAATACACTTGCTTACCCAAGTCGGAAGCTGCCAACCGGATGTAAATATCTCGCCTGCTAGCTTCACCATTGAGTTCTTTTACATCAGTCAGAGCTCCGAACCACATCAAACAGCCACTGCCACCTTGAGTAATGTTCGAATTAGTACAGGCCGTGCAAGAACAGTTCTTTAAGCACTCTGCCTTGCACTCCTTAAGGCTCATATTCTTGTTGAAATAGAACTGCAAAAAATCAGGCAATTTCACCCCCTCAACCTTCAAAAACCCCTCTTTAATCCGGCAACCCACCACCGGTGTCTTCCTCACGCATCCACTAGACCAATCAAGATTTCCCCATTCTTCTTGTGATTTGGGAATGAACCCTTCCAAACACTCACATGCTGGAATTTTGGAAATTTTGCAAACCCCATTAGCTCCACACTGCCCATAATTGTCACACTGATCCCTTGGTACACTGAACATCAGAGACCATTTCATGCTAGTTTCATTCACTCTGTAGCGTTGAAGCACACCGGACTGATTCAAGGTTAGTCTTGTAACAACTGAGTGATTGTAACGGTCATACACATAACACAACTTGTCATCATTGAAAACAAAAACAGGTGAAAACAACGGATTTTGATTAGCGGAATGAGCAGTGAATTGAACTCCATTCCATGCTGCAGACCGATATGTCTTCACTAATCCCTTGAATATAACAAACTGAGGCAGCCCATGATTTTCAATTCTGTAAGTGAAGTCTCCAGGAGATGGATCATCAGCACTTTTCCACGACACCAAATATCGGTCTAGATCATCGTTTAAGCAGTAGTGTCCCATCTTCATATCTGGTAACCGTGTATCGGATGGATAATCGAAGCTCTGCCAAATCAAATCTCTGCTATTCTTGTCGAGTATGACAAGGTTTCCAGTGTCTAACATCTGCAAAATGGGACTTTCTGATGCTCTTGATGTATTGGTAGACCAGATAATTAGGCCCTTCGTTTGTGTGTGAAGAACAAGTGTTCCATTGTTGGTGACTGTTAAAACTCCAGTTGAATCTGTAATCGGGTTGTTTCTGTTTGCAACCCAAACAGCTATAAGTGGATCATTCTTGTACCATATTCCCAGAAACCTATTCTTGCTGCTGCCAGGAGAGAAGAAGCCCAGTTCATATATTTGACCTGAGGAAACTAAAGTCTCTTCATCACTGATGGATTGGTTTGAAGTTAAAGTGTCAGAGGCGATGCAGAATTTGAAGAACATAATGAAACAGATCAGTGAGAGAGAGAAGAACGAGGAAGCAAAACTACCCATTTTTTTTTTTTTTTAAATTCACCAAAATGAATGTATAGACTTGTTATGCTAAACAACAGTATGATCTATAATTCAACCCTCCTTTTGATTCATTTGTGCATATATGTAGTATGATTTTATGATGTAACGCTGGACATGATGTAACAATAACATCACTCATTTGAGGTTGTGTGTGTTGTTGATACTTGGTAGAGAGGAAATTAAAACGTCATGATCGAAGGCTTACGGGGGCTATAGGGTACTACAGGCGCCTCATGTTGAATAGAGTTATTTTTCTAGAATGGACCCACACTTACCTAGAGTCAATTATCAAGTGTAGGGGACAATGACTCTTGTCTTCTTCTTATATTTTGAAAAAGTAAAACAGATATTATTCAGTGTGATCTATTTGGTAGAGTCTATTATTTTTTCTAGGTATTCTCATGTTTGAGGGAGACTTTTAAATTTGTCAGGATAAAAATAAAGAAATAAATACTTTTAAAATAAAATCTTAATCTAAGTGGAAGGAAAAAGAAAAGGAGACTTTGGGGTACATTTAAATGCTACTGAACAGAGATGGATTCAAAACTAAGTACAACCTGTGAGTAGGTGGTGGTTAAGCAACCAAGTCATAATTTTGGTGCAACCTGGTTATATCAGCTAAGTAATTATTTTAGTTGGGAGACCGTACATAAGTAGTCTGACTGCTTTATTCGAGACATTAATTGCATCCGTTGAACCATGAAACTATGTATTGATTGAAGCTCCATAGTTCACGTGGAGCTACCCTATTGTAGTGAGTCAGCAGATGATGTACTTGTTAACGTGTGGAGCTTGGATAAGGTGCTGTACTGCACCTCCCTGTACGTTCACAATTCTCACATGTTTGATGGCGAACACATGTGAGGATTGTGCACCCTTGGATCTAATTTAGCATTTGTGCAATCGAGATTGATATGAATCCCTATCAACATAATAAATTAACACCACTCGTGATGACTAGTATACAAAATCATCGGTTACATTCTTCATTTGATTAAAGCAAAAAACTTATTTTTCACAATAATTCTAGCATGAAACACTAATTCAGAAGTCCCAAATTCCAGGAGGCATGTGGTGTTGCTGGATAAGGGTTGCAACTTTTTTAGTTTCTGAAGTGTGACCGTCACAAACTGACAAACTAGTTGCATAGTAATGAGAATAATGAGGCATAAAAAAAAAAAAAAAACTAAACTTGATAATTGTCATGTTCTTTTGTCAAAACCAAACCTACCTAATCTGATTGATTATTTAAAAGGAAAGGAAGCATAGAAGGAGGGATGGGAAGACCACTGGGAAACAAGATGACTCTAATTTTGACAAACTCTTGTAATCCACCGGGAAATAAGATGACTTTGTTTGACAAATTTTCACCATTTTGAGTGGTTATCTGACCGGGCAGAGGATTTTAGTTTTTGGTGTGACCAAAAATATCACCAACCTATTAGGATGACTGCTTCAGTTTAGTGCCATTATTTGCAGGCTTAAATTGAAGTAGTTAGATATGAAGTACTCAAAATTAAATAAAAAAGCAGGAAGTAAAATTCTAATATGTGTACTAGATAGTTAGAAATTCGGAATAAAATTACAGATTACATTCTATTAATGTTGTCGGTTCTTGAATCAATCCATGATTCCATGTGTATTAACTATAGCAGCTCAGGAGAATAAACGGAGGATTCGTTTTACTCGGTAACTTCCTGGATTCAGCAACCACATCCTAAAGCTAATTTAAAAAAAAAAAAAAAGAAAAAAAAAAAAAAAAACCTATTAGGTATGTTGAAGTAGCAGTGCTACACATCTCGAATTAAAATTTAAAATTTAATTTTGAATTTGATGTGAAAATAATAAAATAAAAAAAAAATTAGTGTTCTTTATTTTAATAGATATTACACTTTATATTTATGTTTTCTATTTTAGCAAACTATCATTTGAAAGAAAATGAAGGATCGAAGAAATTACACTAGGTTTTTCTCTCAATCTCTAATTTGTTTTTCTCTACTAATATCTTTTTGTTATATATACAAATATATATATATATATATACACACTCTTATGCACTCTTTTTATTTTTCAATTACTCTATATATTGCGTATTTCTTTCAAATTTAACCTTAAACAGAAAATATCAAATCAAATTATGTAAATTAGGATTTTTATTCATAAGAAAAAGGTCATTTGTTCATGGCAAAAAATCTTAGCATCTAGTTTTAATTATTTGACGAATTAATAGGAGGGGTTCTTACTCACGAGAAAGAGATCATTGGTAAAAAATTGTAACTTTTAATTTAATTATTTGAAAAGTTAATAGAAAGGGTTTCCAAATGAAGTTATAATAGTAAGTTTTGCTATTTTTTTCTCTCTTTCTTATATTAAGATATTTTCTATATAAAAAAATTACTTTTAAAAGTAGCCAAATAAGCTGGCAAATAAATAATCACCTAATTCAAGATAAAAACACAAATCAAAATTCCTGAAGGATAGCATTTTGCCCTTTTCCATGTTGAAGATAAAAGGTTTTAGACTTTTCTTGGGTCAAATAGTTGATATTTTAAAGTTTTAAAATAATTGGGCCAAGATCATCCAAATTAGTGTTCTGGATCATCATTTTTGTGGGCCTATTTTTTGACCCAACTTTAACGCTGTAGTTTAAATTTTGTAACCAATGCATAGTACTAATTAGGCCCACAAACATGATGATCCAGTACTCACGCAAATACATGAGTGGGCCTATTACTCATGAGTGGTACCAAATGGGCACTAGCCCTGGTAAAAGCCCTTCTCTCCTAAGAGAAGTCCGGTATTCAAATCTTTGTGGCTGCTATGTGTTTGGATGGTCAATGAAATTGCCCCTGCTAAATTTCTTTTACTATTATATACTACTGATTTTTTGTTTATATATTTATTTATTTATTTTGCAAAAATTTTTAAAACCCTCATGAGTTATAATGGAGATGGTTTTCCAATAATTTTTAAACCAGTGCAATTGTCAAACCTATATTTTAATTGATCATTTATATGGAGGGCTCTACTTAATTATATTTTACATAAATAATTTATCAAAAATATTCTATCAGACAATGTAACTTTTTGAGTGACCATCACTAGTCACGCTACTACTCTTTAACAAAATATCATATGCAAAATGCCAATGGACCCTCATCCCCCATTTACCTTTTAACATTATTTATTTTTGGCACCAAATCAGACTTAGTTAGCTTAGAGAGAGATTGTCTAACATTCGCTATTGGATTTCTAGGTTTTTCGATTGAGCAAGATTTGTGGGTTATTCCTGTTCCATGTTGGGATGGATTGTGGGTTGTGTTGAGTTTGAAGTGAGTGTCTGGTGCATTTGATTTCAGCTTCCTTGATATTGAACCCGTCACGGATCCTTCCTTGCCTTGTGTACGTATTCTTGGTTCAGGAAATGCTACAACCTTTGCTTATGTCTTCACTACCACTTCCTGGTGCTGATCTTGTGTAGCTCTCCGCAGATTCAACCATTTCTTGTGAAATCATCAGGCTTTTTGAGATGGGGTAGCCCTCTGTTTACGTTGACCGATCTTTTTTTTTCCCAAACCAAGCCCTTTGTGTTTGGATAGCCCAAGATTTTCAGATGTTACATGTTTATAGTGTGATACCGTCGTCATAGACCTTTCAAGTGCATGCAGTTTTATCAACTCATTAGCTTGTTTGGTAAGTGCCATTCTTTCATTATCATTGGTATGGAAGGTTAATGGATATAGTTGTTCTTCAATGCTTTGTCTTATTTATTTTTTGCTAGAGAATTAATTACCTTTTTTGTGGTCATTTGATTCTTATGTTCCTGCCAAGTCAAATGACAATTGCCCTGTACACCTATGTTTCCTAAAAGAAAAACAGAAAAATGAATTGCTCTGTTTCAAATACGGTCCTTGAATAAGGAAAATGTGTTTTGTGTGCTTCTTTTTTCATTCCTGATCTTGAGGTGAATTTTCTTGGCATAAGCTTGCAGTATTTTTGCTTAGATATAAGGGTAAGAACATATTAGTCACATTATTCATTTTGAAGGGCATACTAGATATATGAACGTATAGATGCACATCAACAAAATGAATAATGAATAAAGCAAATAAACATTTTACATACCGAAACAAACGGAGCCTAATTTCGGGTGGAAAAAGATTGACAGGTATTTTTTTCCTGATTACAAAACCAATGAAAGACATCATTTTCAATGACTATAGAGTATAGACAGCCAAGTTCCTTTTATAGACTTCAAAGTAAACCCCGCGTTTTAAATAAGAAGACAGATGGTAGTGGGGACTAAAGAAGAAATTAGTGTGCATAGCTAAAATGCATTTGACCTGGAGCCTGGAGGTGGACAGCGAGGGCAGTGCTTCTAATAACGTATTTTAATTACAATCATAACAAAATACTACTCCATATGATTATTGGTTGCCAATGGATATTCCTACTTTCTTAAGAGATTAATTAACATAGGGTAATGAGAGGATCATTGCTGCAAATAGGCCTTAGGTGATCCTTGATATCATATGTACAAAATGACAAACGAAAATCTAAAATATATCTCAGGTTTACAACTAAACTAAGCATGTAGCGGTTTGAAAATTCAAACCAAGAAAATGAATCAGAATCATCACCCATTAACATCTGTCCTCCTGGCTTTGACAACGATTCAAACAATTGCCTGCCTCGTAAGACTGCTGTTCGGGTCGATATGTGTAGAAATAGTGGCGGAGCCACACAGGGTCCAGTAGGGTCAGCTGCACCTACTGCACGTTCTTGTTATTTTTCTGTAAGCATGTAGCAGTTTGAAAATTCAAACCAAGAAAATGAACCAGAATGATCACCCAGTAACATCTGTCCTCCTGGCTTTGACAACGATTCAAACAATTGCCTGCCTTGTAAGACTGCTGTTCGGGGGGATACGTGTAGAAATAGTGTCGGAGCCACACAGGGTCCAGTGGAGTCAGCTGACCCTACTGCACTTTCTTGTTATTTTTCTATATGCCTCTGAAGAATTCACAGGCTCTGAGACCATCTGTAACTTATATGGAAGCCCTTACCAAAAAAACCTTATATTGAAGGGTTTCCGTAAGAAATTTTAATACCAAATA